AAGCCATCACAGCCACCTACACCGTGTGCAAGGTACCAAAGGCATGCAGCACCACAGCAGCGATTTCAGGCTGCAGGAGGAGAAGCTCTAACAAGGCTGTTACCATGGTGCCACCCACTGCCAGAACTCTCCACACAGGATGGATTATCTGCACTGAAATAACTTTACTCGGCCCGCTAAGAGATTGTTTTCATGTGCATCTCCAAATTCTTCTTATAAAAGTTGAGAAAAGGGCTCAAAGCGACTCTCACAGACAGAAGAGTTCCTTTGCAGAGTGATAACAATGAAAAGGTCCCTACTCTGTGCATTTCATTACAATCCTGAGCTCCCAACCATGTACCCATGAGGTCTATTAAAGGCTGCCACCACACAAGCATTCATTTTCATTACAGCCATGCATTTACAATCCCAAATATCTCAGATCTTTGCAGGAAGCATAAACGGATCAAGGAAGTAAACCCAAACATTAGAAGCAGTTTTTAGTAAGATCACTGTTGTGGAGGAAAGTGCTCAAACAGCATTTTGAACTCAAGTTACTCAAGTCAATATTCTTCACAATATCCCAAGAGAAAATAGAATTTAGTAAGTATAAAGAGCTGTCTGTGTTATAGCAACATTAAAGCAGCTAAGGATGTTGATTTTTTAGCCACCAGACATTAGTGCTAACACCTACCTGAAGCAATACAAAATTCCCAGTGCTACTTCATGGTCAGCACTTCATGGGCTGACATCCAGTAGCTTTGAGGACACGAGTTTACATTTTCCAAAGAGGAGACAGAACCTTGTGAGTGGGAACTCTTGGAGTCATCAAGAGCAGGAAACTCCACCCACAGATGGAGTCTCACCACAGCTTTGTCCCAGAAAGTCTCAGGAATGTGCATTTCCCTTTAATCTCAGAGTGAAAAAGTAGATGAGGAAAATAAAAGCCAGCTGAAACAAGTGGAACTTTCTAATGAATGTTTATAAAATTAAGCTTTGTAAAAGCAAAAGCTTTGACCTACATTAGCCAGAAATCCTAATGAGAGCAAAAAGCCTGAGATGAGGCTCACTGTAGCAAACAATTTAGTCCTACCACTACCTTCTTGTTTTCTACACCACAGCAGCACTGATCCCTGTGCAGACAGACCACCAATAGTCCCAAGCCAGACTCGCCCCATCTTTCTGCACACCCATTCCACCAGCCCCACAAATAACAAGTATTTAAGCTCCAAGATTAAAGTCTATGAGTACCAAGAGGCCTGTGAATCTGAAATTATTTATCACCTTTCTAAACATTACACATATGTGGACATGGCACAAAAGTCTCATCATAGTGAACATTTCAAAGTAACAAAAAAAGATCTCATTTCACCCTAGTAAACTAGTGTCTCTCTCCCAGTGAGGTGTCTGTTTGTATGTATAAAAAGCTACTACCTAAATTTCTGTTGTCATATCCATACTGTGTCCCACACCACTGCTCCAGAGCCTCACATACCAATGTGTTTTTACCTGCGTGGCTGCCCACCAAGAGGCCGTGTGATGGCACTGTGTAACCACATGCAGTGCCTCAGTTACAATTTCTGTCATAAGTACTCTACAACTGCCTAAAAACCCAACATACACCACCTTAGCCACAGTGAAGAGCAAACAAGTTCAAAGGGAAAATGCCAGAAGAATACCAGCTCTAGTGCTTACTTTACACTAGATACACAAATTGGCTCAAACACTTGCATGTTTAACGAAGTTAGGCAGTGAGGTCAGAAGGATTTCAACCTGTCACACAATCCAACCAGCAGGTACCAACTCCTAGATATGGGTGACAACAGCACATCATAGCCTTGCTTAAGAGCTTATCCAGGCCCTGCTTTAGCTGCTTGTCAGATAACCTCCTCCTCAAAGCTCTGTTTTGCTACCTACGTCCTGGGCTTACTGAAAAAGAAGTACAATAGCACATAGGTTAAACTAGCTTTTATTGAAATACAGAACTGTATGAAATTGGACCTAAAAACAAAGCTTCAGTGCACACATTAAACATCATAATTTGGAGGTGGCATGTCAATGATCTCATCCAGGGTAGCAAGGAAGTCAGCAGTTGATTGTAGCAAGTCTGAAAGTTAGAAATAAATCAAATCAGTTTCTCAAACCCAGAATACACACAAACATAAGCTAGCTCCCAGCAGCTCAGCATAAACCTCTTGAATAAGCAAGGGAAATATTGCTTAATTGTATAAGCCAATGCCACCTAAGTGATCAGTTTGCAAAGCACCACCAGAGACTGCTCAATGCATTGCTTTTCACTAGGTAATTTTCTTCACAGTGGCTGGTGTGGGCTGTGTTTTGTGCTGGAAGCAGTGTTGGTAACTCAGGGATGGTTTAGCTGTGTGAGCACTGCTCAGCAATAGAGTCAAGGCCTTTTCTGCTCCTCACCCCACCAGTGAGGAGGAGGCTGTGAGTGCTCAAGCATCTGGAAGGGAGCACACCCAGAACAGCTGACCCCAAGGGGCCCAGGGGCTATCCCAGACCATATGGTGTCATGCTCAGCAGACAAAGCTGGGGGAAGACAAGACACTTGGAGTTATGGCACTTGTCTTCCCAAGCTTCATCACATGCTAAAGCCCTGTTGTTGTGAGCATGCTGAACTCCTGCTTGCTGATGGGAACTGAATTAATTCCTTGTCTTGCTTTTCTTAAATGCATGGCTTTTGACTCAGTTATCAAAACTACTTTTATTTCCAAGCATGAGTTTTTTTCTGGGTTTTTTTTCAGTTTTTTCATACTTTCTGTTCTGATTTCTTCCCCATCCCACAGCAGGGGAGCAAGCTGTGTGGTGCTTGGTTGCAGCTGGGTTAAGCCATAAGTCAGTGACACCACTCTGAGACGATTGCCTCAGCTGGCAGCGTTGGCCAGGGACACTGAGCTCGGCCACACAGCAGAAGCTGTTGGATACTGCTGCTCTGCTCTGGTTGTTCAGACAGCAGCAGCAATTCACTGCTGTGGCCAACTGGCTTTTTGCCCCAATCACTGATGAGCATTGTGTGTACTGAAAATCATGCAAAGTTTCCACTTACTGGATTCCCATGAAATCTCTTCAATCTTCGCTGGTGAAGAAGCCATGTTCACACATCTGTCATATGTCCTTTCAAACACCATGAGGGGGACACCACACAGGTTGATATTGCTTAGTTTGTGCTCTTCAGGAAGATCAAAACTCTCAAAGTCTGTTTAAGAAAGACTGTTAAGTGTGCTGTAGCCTGAGAACTGCAAACTCTTCTAGACTAAATTAAATAGGAGCCAATCTAAAATAACACAGCCCCCTCTTATGGAATATTTACTTACAGTTACACCTTTCAGTTGTCCATGAAATCCCATACACCAACCCTGATAAAAACACTAGACTGCCTAATAGAACTGCCAATGTAAAGCAGTAACTTCAGCAAACAAAGCATGTATGTTTCATCTTTGGCACAGTGGTTTTCACACACATCCACATGAAGAGGAAAGCTTTAAGGACACTTTGAAGGACTGAGAAATCTGAAATGGGATGACCTAAGAACAGCTTTAGAAGTTTCATCTTCAACTATTATATCCTAGAGCAGTAGGAATCTCTTCAATTACAAATCTTGGTAGACTTTTCTGTAATCCTTTGAATATTCTATTACTAATTATCTACTAGTCACTATTTAATGAACTAAGCTATTACATGGTTATTTGGAACTTGTTTCTTGTCACCACAATAAGAGACTCAGAGTAACATCTGAGGCACAGTCATTACTGTTAGAAATACCAGCTCACTCCTGTTAAAGCATTTCAGAAGCAGCAAGCACCCTCATGTTTCAGAAAGGACTCAGGAGAAATGCAGTGCTGGCTTGTGTGCCACAGTAGCTTGGACAAATTCTTACAACGCCACAACTCATGAAAGCCTTCTTGTTAATTTTAATTACATCAATAGTTCTTACCTTGAGGATCCAAAGGAAACATATTTTCTATTTCTGGCCAATCTTCTTCAACCACTGCATGGCAGCTTTCTAATCCAGTCTTTTTGTTCATCATAAAAAGAGGAAGTAACAATTTGAGCTACTGTAGAATATTTGTAGTGGCTTTCTTATGCTATTCAGGTCTACAGACAATATACCTGCCATACTTTTCTCAGTCAGGCCTAAATTCTAATGCCTTCAACACAAATAAGATGGGCAAACATTTCAGCTGAGTTTATGCAGAGCAGTACTATATGTGGTGGTAAGAGATGACTGCCCTAGGACAGGTAACTCTTAAGATGTTGATAAAACACTAAGACTATTTTCTCTAGAACAATCTACATAGGTGCCCTGCTTTTAAGCTGGAGAGAGTTATTTTTCCTCCTAGCAATTCTTATGAACCATGTTTTGGATTCATGATGAAAATGGCTCTTTCAGCTATTGCCAGGCAGTGTTTGCACAGTCCAGGCCTTCTCTGCTTCTCACAACCCCAGCAGTGAGTTGGGGGTGCACAGCCAGGACAGCTGACCCCAGCTGCCCAGAGGGATGCCCCACACTGCATGGCATCTCAGCAAGGAAAACTGGTGGGAGAGCAGGGCTGCCACTGCTCTGGGTCTGGCAAGGCATTAGTCAGCTGGTGGCAAGGAATTTGTTTTGTTTTTCTTTAAGATTTTTAATTATTAAATTGACTTAGCTTTAGCCTATTATTTTTCTCACATTCACCCTTCCAAGTCTCACCCCCTAGCCAATAAAAAGGGATTAAGGGAACATCTGTGTGGTGCTTAATTATGTTAGAATTAAGCCTCAACAGCAAGTAAATTATGGATTTCCCCTCCTCCCCAGCATAAGTGTGTTGTACTCACTTTTTTCACAGTGCAAGGCTGATTTTTCTGTTTTAACTTATCTGTCTTGCTTGTGACTACTTCAGTTTTATTCACATTTCCAAGAGCCTTTCTGACAGAGCGAGATGTGACTGGAGAAGTACTGATTGCTTTTTTAGGAAGTGGAGTGTTAACTTGTGTTCTTTCAGCTAAGGCTTTTGCTGGAATGGGGGGAAAAAGGAAAAAAAGCAAACATCAGCAACCCTAAAGCTTGGCAAAGTAGCTGTCATGGAAATCAGTGTTCATTATGTATAACTCATAAGCCACACTTATGACAAAAGCACAGAGTTATCTTCAATTTTATACCAACTGATGAGCTCAGAAGAATTGGTCAGGTAAGTGGATTTATGAATAGGAAACTATTACCATTAAAAGCAGTGACTAACAAACTGATTTATGCCCTTCACTTGATCCCTACTGGCTCAGGGCAGCAAATACGCACAAGATCCTGAAGGGAGCTTCAGCTGACTCTTGGGAGCATGAAGTTCACTATTCTCCTGATCAACAAAGATCAGAGTTGACATCTTCAGATTGATAAGACTACCCTGCAGAGGAAAAAGGGAAAGCACTTTTGTCATTTGTCTCATCATACCACATTTTTTAAGCAAGCCCCATTAAAAATAACAGAGCTATCACATACTAATCTCTAGACAAGGGGAACAAACCCCTACTTCCCACCGTTATACAGCAGTTCAGCTAAGGACCCTCAGGTTTGAAGGCACTGTTAGGGCTCATCCCTGCCATTACCCAGGTGAACAAGCAATTCCTCATTAAAGAGGTCTGCAAGAAAACTCAGTCATTGTTAGTGAGGCTGGAAAAGATCTCTGAATAATCGAGTCCAGCCTAAATACCCCATGCAACTGGGTGCCATATCCAGCTTTTCCTTAAATACCTCCAGGCACAATGAATGCACCACCTCCTCTGGCAGCCCTTTCTAATGTCTAACCACCCTTTCCAGGAATTCTTCCTCATGGCCAGCTTAATTCCCCCACAGACGCTTTGATGCCATTTCTTTTTGTCCTGTTGCTGGTTGCCTGAGAGAAAACACCGATCTCCACCTGACTACAACCTGCTTTCAGGTGATTGTAGCAAGCGATAAAGCCGCTCCTAAGCCTTTTCTCCACCAGGTGAGCACGCCCCCAGCAACTCCAAAATCACACCTGCGCTCCAAACCCCTCCCCAGCTTTGCTACCTTTCTCTGTGCGGAACTCTTTCCCTTTGTACAGCCTGAAGAGCAAAGCAAGATTCACAGTCCCTATGCCCAAGCTCACCTCACCAAGCAGCAGTACAGGCAAAACACGCACCCGCGGCACCTCAGTCAGAGCGCCCTCACGGCCAACGGCGCCGGCTTTTAAACCGGCCCGCAGCCGCCCATTGGCCGCTTCGACCCACGCGCGGCAGCCGATTGGCTGCGCGCGCGAGTTCCTGGGTGGGCACGGAGAGTTGGCTCCGCCCCGGAAGTGAGCGGAGCCGCGGGGCATTGTGGGACGGCAGTGCGGCCTGGCAGGTAAACAGGGCCGGGGGACCGGGACCGGGACCGGGCCCGGGAACCGAGATCGGGATCGGGATAGGGAACCGAGATCGGGAACGGGACCGCGACCGGGAACCGAGATTGGGATCGGGAAACGAAATTGGGATCGGGACCGGGACTGGGAACCGAGATTGGGTACGGGACCGGGATAGGGAAACGAGATTGGGAAAGGGACCGGGACCCGGAATCGAGACTGGGAAAGGGACCGGGACCCGGAATCGGGATTGGGAAAGGGACCGGGACCCGGAATCGAGACTGGGAAAGGGACCGGGACCCGGACCCCGAGAGCGCGGCTCGGGGGCTCCGAGCGAGCGCTGCCGGCCCGGGCCTGGCGCCGCTGTCCCCGGTCGTTCTCTCGCGTCCCTACCGGGGTAGGGCAGGCCCGGGTCCCGGGTTAGCAGTGAGGTAATTCTGTGTTTTCTGCAGTGGGGCTCATTTTCCAGCACAGAGGTATGTCAGAAATGCATAATTCAGGTTAGCTCATTTCCGTGACACAAAATCGCGTTGAAGAGCTGTGGTGCCAGAGGGTATTGATGAGTAACGCTTTTCTTCTGTCTTTTTTTTTTTCTGCTAAGGAAAAAAGCCAAAATGGCCTCAGGTGCGGTAACGAACGCCCCTCCTGCAGGGGGGGCAACTGATGTGAGCCTGGAGGAGCCAAAGAAGATGACAAGGGAAGATTGGAGGAAAAAGAAAGAATTAGAAGAACAGAGAAAACTGGGGAATGCACCTGCTGAAGTGGATGAAGAAGGAAAGTATGTTTTGCTAAAGCTATGCTTATTGTAAAGCTGCTGAGGAAAAATCTCTTTTCTTGTGGTTACAGAACAATTGGGAGGGTGACACATGATTTCAGTCTGAGGTCCTGTAGAAGTAAATAGTTGAACTTTGTATTTTAATATTCCAGTCATCAGATTTTTTATAGAAAAATGTAGGTTCAATGTTTATTTTCTGTCAGCTGCTGACAGTTCTATTAAAAAGTCCCATCCATGAAGGTAATAGCATGGGATATTTCAAAAGTGAGCAAGACATAGCACAGGAGTCTTTTACACTGTAGCTCATCTGTTGCCTCTCCCTTGTTTTTGCAGGGCTTCTGAGCAGTGTTGTGTTTTTTTTTTTTTTTTTTGCTCAGTAACACTACACAGAATAAGCCATTTGATTTGGAGTTGGGAGTTTAGGTGAATTCGGTGGCAACAAAGCCTCAAAGTCTGTGTTTATCAAACTGAGAATTTATTTTGTAATGCTTTGTACCAGCTTCATTATTTATTATCACTTGAGCTTTAATGTGAATGTTGTTCGTTAGAATGAGTTGTTTTGGGCTTTTTCCCCTATGCCACATGTTCACTGCACAACATCTTTTGCAGAGATATCAACCCTCATATTCCTCAGTACATCTCCTCGGTGCCATGGTACATAGATCCTTCCAAGAGACCCACACTAAAGCATCAGAGACCTCAGCCAGAGAAGCAGAAGCAGTATAACTCCTCTGGAGATTGGTACAAACGAGGCGTTCAGGAGGTATGTATTGTAAATGTAGGCGAACTTAATGGGAAGAAATGACAATGTTTGACTTAATTTAGAAGGCTGAATTATTTCTTTATTATAACTATGCTAAAATACATTAATATACTATATAAAAGGAGGATAATAAAACTACATACTACTTCTTCTGACTTTATTTCTAACTCCTACACAACTAGTGACTCTCTCTTGAGAGTTTAGACAGAGGTGGGTTGGATTGACCATCCTCACTAGAATTTAATTAAGCACTCACTCTAGGTAAATAATTCTCTAAACACATTTTACATAGGAAAAATAAGAAGCAAAAATAGAAATTATTTTCTCTTTCATTTCTCTCTGTACACCTCTATAAAAAATCCTAAGAGGGAGAGAAATGTACTTGCCACAGGTGTGCAAAGTGCTTCTCTTGTGAAATACAGATTTGGGTGGATTACACAAGGAGATTCCTGGTTATGTGCTTCGGGGGGGGGCAGGAGTTTTTATTCAGCAGGCAGAGCAGCAGTTTGGGCTTTGGGGAGGGCACTCACTCCTGGAGTTGTTTTTGGGATCCCTTGTGAGCTGTCCCAGGGCTGACCCTGTGCTTGCCCCCAGCACGCCGTGGCCACGAGGTACCGCAAAGGAGCCTGCGAGAACTGCGGCGCCCTGACACACAAGAAGAAGGACTGCATGGAGGTAAAGCCACTCCTGGCCCTGTCTTATGGCTGTGAATGCCACGGGAATTTAATCTTTGTGAAATCAGATGGCTGCAGATGAAATACTGGGTTTGGAAAAGCTGTTTTGAAAAATGTTACGAGTAGTGAGAGATGGCCTAGAAATTTCTAAAGAAATGATTAATGAAAAGTGATAGAATTCAGTGTGTCATCCATCAATTCTGTTTGTAATAGGATCTGAAACAATAGGTGAAAATGTTATTTTCTTGTTAATTGCATTAACTCAGGTGCTATTGTGTCTGTCTTCCTGCTTCATCTCAGGTAGAAGCCACTTCCAGAAACTGTTTTAATTGCTTCCTTAATTGTAGAAAATAGAAACAAGAATTTATGGAGTTTGAAGTCAGTTGTGCTACATAAATGTGCAGAACTACTTGCATTAGTTTACAGTCCACAGCCTTACAGTGCTGAATTTAGCTTGCTTTAGAGGAGCTTGATTGATAGTATTTTTAAAAGGATATGTGAGTGAGTAACCTAAGAGACTGATAGATCTTTTTTTTTTTTTTTCTTTCAGAGGCCCAGGAAAGTTGGAGCAAAATACACAGGCATGAATATTGCCCCAGATGAACACGTGCAGCCTCAGCTGATGTTTGATTACGATGGGAAGCGAGACCGGTGGAATGGTTATAACCCAGAGGAGCACATGAAGATCGTAGAGGAGTACTCCAAGGTTGATTTGGTACGTAGGGGCTATGATTTACTGGTGAGAGAGTTAGTGTTTGGTGTGGCTGGGCTGGGAGGAGGGACACTTGTAATGTGTTCTGCTGATATTACAGTGGTGCTAGGGAGAAATATTTAAATAAATGAATTTTTTTGCTGCACAGGCCAAACGTACACTGAAAGCCCAGAAGCTTCAGGAGGAGTTGGCATCAGGGAAGCTGGAGCAAGTGGTAAGTCAACTTAGGTAATATGTTTTTCCTTAGCCTGAATAAATATAAAACAGATTATTTATGCTTTCTGACTCTTTTACTCTCTATACAGGGTCTGTTGTTGGGTTTTATACCCTCTAGTAATTTAAAGGTTTTCCTAACACACCAACATTTTCTGTGTCACACTCAAGAACTTGAAGCATCTTCTTGAAGTGAGAATTGCTTTATGTTCCAATTACAGACAGAAATTCTGTGTGATTATTGTTGCTGAAATTATTGACATGGAATTTTGGGTCAGAAGAGCTTGTTTTCCGTGTAGTAATTTTTTCATATACCAAAATGCTCTTCTCCTATTTAAAGATTGCTACAGTCTGACTAGTACTGAGGTGATGACTGTGCATTGGTTTAGTAATGTTTAATATAAATTGGAACAGAAGATGTTTCCTTAAGAAGAAGCAAATTCGTTTAAGATAAAATCACTGCTCAGTGACTTATGAAATGGGGAAAAAACCAGAGACTGCTACTGGTCAGAAATAGGTTTTTTAAAGCCTCCTTGCCGAGGCTGTGCTGTCCCTTCGTGAGTTGTCACTAGATGGCACAGCGAGCTCGATCTGCCACCCAGCCCAGACTGCAGTGCTTTTTACAGACCTCCCCAGCAGAAGATTCTTCCTCTTTTCATGCCTGTTCTATGAAGCAAACACTGTTGGCTTCTGTATACTTATTGCTTATAAAATGGAACTGTAAGAAGAAAAGTGTGTTTGAAATTTAAGAACTGCCTCTGAGAGAGAGGACTGAGACAGATTTGCATAGTCAGTGCTGGCCAGTTGCTGGTCTGTGTTCCAGGGCTCACAGTTCTTCCCATCTTTATTGCTGCGAGTATTGTTAAGTTAAAGACTAAGCAAGTTAAAAAATAAAATCTGGCTGTGTTTGTCAAACTTGAATTCTGCCTTTTGTGCTTAGTGTTCCTGTAAATCCTAACTAAATTCCTGAATACATATCTCCTTAATTCTTTTTTAAGCTTTTAGAGTTGCAGCTTGGTTATATTTACATGATATGAGATGTTATAGTCTAAATCCTCAGTGTTCAAAGGTATGACAAGCTCTAAATAACAGCAACGGTTTTAGAATTTGCCGTTCTTTCAAAGAATTGGAAATTTTGTTGGGGATACAGTGAACAGTTCTCCAACATGTGTCTGTCACAGAGACAGCTAAGAGCATTCTTCTAGAATGTTATGTAGCAGTGTTTCTGCATTTGGGGCCAATGGTAAATTGTGTTTTGTATCCTGCATGAAGCTCTGCTTTGATTGCCCTTTGTGTCCCTGCCATCTTGCTTTTTTCCACTATCTTGTCTTCTCTGCTGATGTGCTCTTTGTTTGCTGCAGAACTCCCCAAGACACCAGTGGGGAGAAGAGGAATCAAATTCACAGACAGTAAGATGATTACCCACTGCATCACACCATGGGCAAAGAAAGAACCTGTAGTTAGTGGAACAGTAAAACAAGGGTGGCACAAGGGTTTGGATGTTGTGTCCATGCCACTGCCCACTTCTTGTTTTGGGCAGAGGTTGCTGGATTTCAGAAAGAGGCTTTTTAATTTCTTTGTGTTGTCAAACCTTAGAGATGCAAGCACATAAGTAGATTTTTACATGTGGTATATTTTGACCAAAGTAACTGTTTTCTTAATATCACCATGGTTATGTTTTGATAAGTATTTCCATAGAAGGAAGTGAAAATTCTTTAACAAGAGTGCTTCTGAA